GGATTTTGATCAAGAAAAGACTCAAGTGGTTTAGATAAGATGGTAGCGTGTGGGCACACATCTTACCTACCTACTGCACCCTTTCTGAAATACTAAGAAATAAATGAGGGTGAATGGGCAGGTCTAACAAAAACAGTGTTGCAGTTAAGTCTTCACAGACTAAGCAGCAGCCACAGCTCTGTCTGTAAAATTTAGCATCATCTTGCTGTTTTATCTTGAAGTGGCAGGTCAAGGATAATAGACCTCCCAAGTCAGGATCTTCTCTGATACTGTATATGCTACAAACTTTTCTGCTGAGATTTTTCCAAGTGAATGAAAGACTAGAATGAAAGACATTCACGTGCTTGAGCTGTACAGGACACTATAACAGAGAGAAAGATGTTGCTTGGCCTTCATAGAGTCTCTTTTTAAGGTCTGCCTCTTTCCCAGGTGACCCACAATTCCGTAAATGAGAAAAACAGAAACCGTTCTAAGTTATCAGTGCTGTGAGGGACTGAAATGTTGGGTTTGGAAGCACAGAAGAGAAAACAAAAAAAATCATTTTGCATTTTTATTTAATGGGCTATTTCTAGAGAAGGAATATCTCAGGGCAGCAATTTTCTTGCATTTTGGCAGAACCCAATCAAGAGAACTATCAGACAACAGTGATTGTGCATGATTCCCAGCCACTTTGTTTTAAAAGCAGTTTAGCTATTTTTCCTGTTACAGTAATATTCATCTGTACTCTTTGATGTTTTGCACAAAGTTCTTCAAACTTGAAGAAAGGAAGGCATTCTTTCATAAATAAAATACTGATCCACTCAGCTGGATTTGAGCTACATTTTTAGACTATATCTTGAACAGATGTAGAATCATAATACAATATAGCACTTCACCCTCAGTTTCCAGGAAACTCTGCATGCTACTGCTTGGTTTAAGTGCTATGGGCAACCTTTCTCTTTTTTTTTTAATTCCAGGTCCTCTGATACTATATTTTGATATCATGTATATGACTCTAATCTGTTAGCCCTTAGCAAACACTTATGCTATTAGAACCAAACAAAGCAAACATTTAAGGTATTATAACTAAATCAGCTTTCTAAATGTTACTGGTTTCTCATGTCAGTAGTAACTCTACTTATCAGAATATCTTTTGCTGCATCAGTATTACTAGTTGACTTTTAAATATTTTTCTTGCAAAACAAGAGTAATTTCCTATGGGTAGGATAACAGATTAAAAAAAAATGCCAAAGTATTTGCTTTCCTTAGGCTGTAAAATTGAGATGTGTTTTTGTATCATAAGGTGGTCAAGGTAGTCACATTGCCTTTGCAATATGAAATAAACACACATGCTACAGGTTCTTCATGTGAGGTTTTTTTTCATCTCTGCTTAGAGAGATTAACAAGACTGCATGCCTGTGAACCGGAGAAACCACACATGCCTGCATGAGTGAGCACTTCTCTGCCCCTTCGTCTCCCTTCCAGCCCCTTCCTCGCCCCCAGATCTTTCACAGAACTAATTCTGGTTTATGTTTTCTCATTGCTTTTCCACTTAGGACCAGGCTGTAAAAACAAGGAACTACTCTTTCAGAATCTGTCCTCGTGGTCACCAGCACCATACCTCTTATTAGTTTTAAGTTTATTTATGCCTATTTGTGGGCTTATTGAGAATGGTGCTAATGCTGTCAGTGGATGTAGAAACTTGGACTGACTGTAAATAACTGAGAAGTTTGAGATCCTACTTAGAGAATTATAAAGTACTACTGTGGTACCTTTTAGCTATGAGAAAGTTAGAGGTACTTATCTGCATAAAATGGTCTGAGGCAGCTATTGCATGAGTGCTTATCTGTAGCATTTTGCCATCCTTGGTTAAGCAACTTCCTGTTGAAACCATTGATCTGTGTAACATGACTGTGTGTGACAGAAGTGGTCAGACTATGTGCCGTCTTGTGTGTGTGTTCAGACCTATTTCTAAGTACTGATTTTGAGAAAGCTGTATTTGGATAACTCAAATCAGAGGTGCATGTGGTCGCATTTAATTATTTCTTCAATTTTCCTAGCATCCTATTGGCAAACTTTGCTTTCATAACAGTTTTACAGATTTTGCTTTTGGGTATAACTTTTGGCTTAGGCATCAGCTGAGGAAGGAGGGAATGTCAGTCCCCTAGTTAAATCTGTTGTGGGCCAGGCATGGTGGAAAAATTGGGATTTCTTGCAACATATTTTGCACTTAAAGCTTCTGACAATTTCTTAGAGGTATCCTGAACTCCTATTACCAGTAACTGTAGTTAGTGGCTGTTTATTCTGGAGACTGATACATTCATCTTAGTGCTAGTTGTGTCTTTTTTTTTTTTTTAAAGTTTCTGGTGAATGTAAAATGAGCTTGGGCAGCAGTATGGAACCGATTCAAAACCATGTATGTAGGCTTCTATTGGCCAGTTTTTCATTATTTGCTAGTTGCATATTGTGAACTTGTATGACGTGAAAGGAATGAAAACTACTTGTGGAGGAGGGAAGGGAAGGGTAGGGGTAATGCAAAGTTATGTGTATAGAAAAAATGAACTAAAAAAAATGATGGGCACATGGAAAGATGCCTTGTAACAGCAAAGAGCCCATATGACTTTCACGGGCAGAAGTCATGCCTTGTAAATTGTTAGATCTTTTTTTGAAATGAAGAGGGAAGAAGGCATGTGGTATTTGTGTGGCGTTTAGGAAGTATGTGTAGCATTTAGGAAGTATGTATTTAATATACTTTTATTCAAGGAAAAAAATGTTGAAAAAGTCTCTAAAACTTTCTTTTAAATTTGGAAAACAAAGCCATAAGAATAATTAGTCAGTTTTAATAATAGAAAGAGGCTAATGGGCTGGAAGAAGATTTTTAAGGGATCTGTGCTTGGGATATGATGGTCAGCATTTTCATAAATGTTACCTTTCTGGTATCTTAGATCTGAGTTTGCTTATGAAACCAAATTATTCAGAGTAGTTAAAACTAAAACTTACCTGGAAATTGCTGTTAAAGGGAGTAAGTTATTTTGACTAAGGGAAGACTTTTTTTAATTGATAAAATGCATTGGAATCCACATGGTGGGCGAGGTGGGGAGATCTAAACAATGTAAATATCTGTGATGATTTCAAAATCTGTCACAGGAAAAAACTACTAGCAGACTAGTGATTAAAAAAGATGCAAATAATGTGAGAAATTACTAGTAAAGGCTTTTAGAGCAAAAGAGCAATCATGCTGGTGATATCTTCAAATTCTGAATAATGATTTGCTTCATCCATGGAATCACAAAATGATTTGAGTTGGAAGGGACCTTAAAGATCATCGAGTTCCAACCCTCCTGCCATGAGCAGGGCCACCTCCCTCTAGACCAGGCTACTCAAAGCCCCATCCAGCCTGACCTTGAATGTTTCCAGGGAGGGGAATGCTTTAGCATTAGAAATCACGTGCAGGAGATGGAGAAGAAAAGTGATACGATAGAAGTTAGAAAATTATGAATATGTAGAGCTGAATAGGAATTCTTTCTTTCTTTAAAGTAATGTAATTAGATTTTTTTATTTTCCTTGCACTTTGAAGAGAAGAATGTGCAAAGACACCATGGAAAAATTGCTGTGGCATACTCGGCTGTATTAGCGAAAGTATATGTACATGGTCAATAGAAGCGATTCTTCACCTCCACTCGGCACCATTAAGGCCGTGTCTGGATTTCTGTGTCTGATTTGGGACTCATCCCCGATACTCATACTGGGGAGGATCTGATGGAGGGTCTCCAAGATGGTTAGATGGCTGAAGCAGATGCTATACACGGAGAGGCTGAGAGATTGAGTTTCTTCTTCAGTTTTAGGATAAGGGCAGAGTTTTTACTGGTTTCAGTGACCTGACAGGGAAGTTTAGCAAAGGAGAATCCAGAGTCAGCTGTACAGTTGCCAAGGATAAGAGGTAACAGACAGAAGTTGCAACACTGGAAATTCTGTTGAGATGTTGGGAAATTTTCACCCTCCCCCACAATGAGGTTAATTAGACATTGGGAAAATTGTTCAGAAAGGTAGCAGAAACTCCAGCCTTTGTAAACACATATTAACAACTCAACTGGACAAGACCACAAGAAATCTGATTTCACTTGCTCCTGCCTGAGCAGGAGATTTTACCACCTGATCTTCTGAGATCTTTTCAAAGATAAGCTGTTGTGTAATGCTGTGGCTTTGTGGAAGACAAAAACATAAAGGTCGTAAAAGGCAGTGAACACGTTCACAAGGTAGCAAAAGTTCTATCAGTAGCTATTTAATGTTTATTCAGGAAAAATATGTGTCTCCATACTTTTTGTTTATATATGGAAAGAGAACACTGCAAATTTTTTGTGTTCCAGTTTGATACTTGGCTCTGTATCTGCCAATGTAACAGAGTAGAACAGCTGGTAAAAATGACCCCTACTGGCCATGTAGTGCTACATCTGCTTCTGGCTTCTGTGGAACGTTCAAACAACACCCAAAAACCCCACACAAACAGAACAAAAAGCATTAGTTTAGATTATGCCTGTGATGGACACCATGCTGGGGCAAGTGTGGGAGTACCTTAAACCTTCTGTAGAACTTCATTTTTAGGATCTAGTGTTAGCAGTAGATGCTGGGTAGATACATCTGTGGTCTGACCTGGCATGCCTATTTTTTTTCCCCTTCTCTCCCCTTTTCTTCTCCCCTTCTCTCCTGGGAAATAAAAATAATGAATTACTGTTTAATGAAGCTTGAAAATGACTTTGTTAATCACATGAGAGTTAATTTAGACAAGAATTTTCCATCCCTCTCTTTTTTTACTAGTGTCCAGAAGAAGTTACTGTCGAGTAGTAGTAGCTATCTGCTGACTGTACGTCTGTTAAAGTGATGAACCACAATGAATGCTAAGTTAGCGTGAGATTCTCTTTTCAGCCTGTCTAAATATATCTGAAACAAACCCCCTCAAAGCTGTGATTTTTATTTGTTCTGTTAACATGCAACAAATATGGTTTTTTGTTTGTTTTACAGCATAAGCAGCACTATTATGGACGTAGACAGCACAATTTCCAGTGGGCGTTCAACTCCAGTTATGATGAATGGACAAGGAGTTCCTGCCTCCTCTGCAAAAAGCATTGCTTATAACTGTTGTTGGGACCACTGCCATGCTTGCTTCAGCTCCAGCCCAGATTTAGCAGATCACATTCGCTCCATACATGTGGATGGTCAACGAGGAGGGGTTGGTGTTTCATTTTTTTTCTCCTTCTTGCTTAATTGCCAGTATTTTACTCTTTAATGACATTAGGAAATTTTGTGTTTTAATGTATCAGTTCCGTAGCTAGTGGCAACTAAGCTTGGACCTTCAGCAGTCTGGTATAGCCATTTAGCTGTTGTCTTTTGCATAGTTCACTTAATTTGGCATTCCATGTTCTTAATTGAATGTCTAACTTTAAGAATATAATAAGTTCTTTTTAACAGAAGATTTGAGGCTATGAGGTTTTTGATATATGTGCTATTTTCTCACCATCCTGGAGCTGTCAGTGTATATTTAAGTGCTTATACTTGGAGTTAATTTTCTTAAACCTATTTGTGTATGTGTTACTGCATGTGAACTCAAATGAAGTTATATCTTGAATATTTTTACGAATGGAGTCTCACTAGAAGTAAAATAGATACAGAATGTATAATAGAGAAGATGTAAGACTCATTGACTCAAGAGTACAAAGTCTTACCAAACCAACTGCGTCTGTAGTACTTATGGCAAGTGTACCTTCAATATAATTGCATCTAGTAATATTTTTTTAGCTGAGGTGCATACATAATAATGTATATTTCAGTCTGATAGCTAGTCAGTTGATGCAGTTTCTGTTGGTCTCACAATTTTAAAATTTGAAAACGTCTTCCAGTAAAGTAATTTGAACTCTATACCTAACTATCTGCCCCTCCCCAACTTCCCAAATTACCTTTGATGCCTGGAATATGTCATGTAAACTACTTTCACATCAAACACAAGCAATCTGCCTCCTTTTGGCACCATGTGTTGCAGCTCTTTAATTTCTTGGAGAGCTTTTGACTTTTTGTCTTGTCACTTTTCCAGAAGTACAATGTTAGGCCAGTGCACTTTATTTTGAGTAAGAGACTTAATAAAATGCTAATTTACATTACCGTAAATAATTTATTATGTAATTGTGTCACTGAGATGGCCACGACTCTGATTGTATTTAGCTAATGTTTTTTTGGTATGACTGAACTTTCAGCTTCATATTTGGTGATATTTTTTTTGGTTTTTTTGTCTGAGCTCTAATAAGAATCACTCATCCAATAATCTGACTTTTTAGCCACTCGTGATTTCTGTAGTTCTGTTTATATGGTTATAAAAGTTTTACCCAAATCTTGAATGAAACAAGTGAATGAGGTATATTGGTATTCTGCGGGCTTTCACATAACTGCATCTCTGGGGATCACTGTTTTCCCATCCATGACCCATTTTTATTTCTTAAAAAGAGACTGGAAGATTTTTCAGAATTTTTTTTTTTGTATTTTATGTTTGTTCACTTACATTGCACATGATGTGATTTGTGGACGTTTTTATGTAGAAAATGTTAGACTGTACTTGTCTTTCTGAAAGAGGAGGTTGTTGGAAGCACTAAGTGTCTGACAGCTGTTGCATTAATTTCATACTTTTTATCTCTCTACTGGATTTGGCTTGTTTTGGGTTTTTTGGGTTTTCTTTTTTGAGAAGTTCTTCAACCTGATGCCGAGGAAGGGGACTGATCCTGATTGTTTTGTTTCAAGGATTTGTCTGCCACCTGCTGGTGAGGTGTTTAAGTGTTGTTAGAAATGGTAGGTTTAATTGGATTTCGGATACTATTTAACTACAATGACTATAAATTTGAGGAAAAGTGGGGATAGTAACTGCTTGTTGAGAACTTAAAACCAATGTGGTAAGCATCCTTCTATGGTAATATTTATATTTGCGAGCTAATACTTAGATAATGGCTCCAAAGCAAATCAAATAGATCCATGAAGAGCCCAGAAAACTTTGTGAAAAAAATAGTTTTACTTCCCAAAACTTTATTTTCAGAAGTGTTTTGGATGCAACTTTTTGACGACAGTTCCCCAAAAGCCTTGCCTGGACTCATGGTGGGTTGTTGTAAAACCAAGTACACTCTTTTTCGAGGAGCTGCATTTCCTCAATTGGTAACTTCATCGCAATACTCCTTTCCTGAGTCCCCTGCAGGCTGCTGTTGCTGAGGAAAATATTGGGACAGTTATGGAACTACTGAAGAGCCAAGAGTCTTGGAAATTCCAAGTCTGTGGCTTCAGGTGGATCTCAAAACTGAGGAGCGGCAGACACCAAAGATTCAGGGTGTTGGGCCTTATGTGTCAATAGGTCTGCATCAGCCGTACAGAAATGCAAGATTTTCCAGCTCTGATTAGTAAGCTGAGTTATCTATATGTTATACGGCAAGTACGTAGCCCTCCTGTGGCTGCTTTTTTATTTTGAAAATACAGTCTTTTGAAGATTGGGGTTTTTAATCTCCAAAAGAGAACAAGAAACTCAAATCCAATTAGTTGCCTGCAGTTCTGAAAAACTTGTATTATGGACAATGCTATTCCTGGGAACTGTATTTTGCTGTTACAAATTAGGGCTATAACTCCCTTCACATACAGACCTGTTGAGGAAATTCTAGTGAAAGGCAAGTTCATTGAGCTTTTTTTATTCTCTCAGTTATAGATAGACACAATAGAGGGAGAGAGAAAAGCAGCATGAATAAGTTCTACTCCCCTTAATGCACTATTGTGCCTGTGACTGATCTGTACGCTGGAATCACAAAACACCCATAGATTCTGAATCCTATGAGAAATTGTAACTTTCTTTAGCAGGAATTGAGTATAAGGCCCTAACTAGAGGTACCTAGTATTCCATAATATAAAATTCTGGTAATTAAAACAACTGTATTATAAGTAAGAGTTTTCACTTTTTCATGCTCAACAAGTAATATTATTGATTATTTATGGGAGTAACTGATTTTATTTCTATATGTGCTACCCAGAGAATGTAAATTTGTAATTTTAATATGATCTATATCCACCAGGTACTGAGACAGAAACTGAGTGCAAGCAGAAACTCTTTAAAGTGAATGCCATGACTATTGATGGTGTTTATCTGCAGGAGCATCTGTTTCTTGATACTTTATTCCAGTGCCCTGCTTTTTTGAATACTTGTGGTTGTTTTTTTTTCCTTGGTGGGATATGAGAAGAATGTTGCAAAATAAATGATTATTGTTCAGAATTCTTTGAAGTACTTTGTATTGTGAAAACAGGCTTATTTGTTATTCTGTTTGGTTTTTTTTCTCTTTGACTTGTGTAAACTTACCACATTTTTACTCTATTAGGTGTTTGTTTGCTTATGGAAAGGTTGCAAAGTATATAATACACCTTCAACAAGTCAAAGTTGGTTGCAGAGGCATATGCTGACACACAGTGGGGACAAACCTTTCAAGGTAAGTAAAATCCATTGTAAGATATGTCATCCCTTATTTTAAGAGCGATCCTATTTATTTTTCCCGATGCAGCATATTAATTGAAAAATGTTATCACATGAGGATTTCTTAAAAAGTGTCCAGGAGGTGAGTCTTCGTCTTTGCAATAATTGTGCCCAAAGGTCCTGTTCTGTTATGAAAACAGATGAAGAAGATACCATTATTGCTTCTTGGTCCCTGTTTCTTTTAACCTGTAAGTGGTAGGATAATATAGAACTAAATAGGGCTGAAGTTCCAATTTTTTGGGTGCATTTTCCAGTTGAGCTGCTTACCCTGTGACAGTGAGATATTTTGCCTCTTGCTTTAAACTTGCATGTTAAACTTTTTGGATCATGCCTGATGGTGTATGTTCTGTGCTTGAATAAGAGCTTGTTTTATTAACAAAAAATCAGTTGAAATGCAGTCAGTGGCTCTGAGAATAATAAGGAAGTCAGGAATGCAGGACCGTTGAGCTGTGTTTCCTGCATAGTATTTTCTAACTTTCTCTTTCTTTCTCCCCCTAATCTGTACCTGCAATTCTAGGTATAGTAGTGTTTATCATTCCCATATCCACCAATCCGTTATTAATGAGTTGCTTCATCCTCTTATGGATACACTTGGGGCAGTTCATAGCTGTCAGTCCTGGATCACTTGATGGTAAGTCCCACCCACACTACTTCAGACTGAAGTTCTCCTTCCATGTAGGATATGAAAATGAATTAGGAGGTTTTTAAGTTTAGGTAGCATTTTATGCTTTCCTCTCTTCCCCCAATCCCACCAAGTTTTAGTCACTGTTTCTCTACTTCCCTTTCCTTTCTTTCTTCTCAGGTAATATCTTTGGCTTTTTTTAAATTTTATTTTAAGGCAGCTTTATTGCTAAAAAATTCTTTTCTGTTACAGTGATGTCTTCCAGAAGTTGCTTCTTCTGCATAGCTTATATTAGTAGTTATGACAGAAAACAAAACTAAGCTCAAAACCTAGAGAGTAAAAATAGTACATTGTATGTGAAAAAGTGTTTTTTTTTTAATAAAAGGTAGACTTTTTTCATGCTAAACTCTGTAGTTTAGTCTGAAAATTTCTGACTCAGTGAATAACAGGAAACTTGCTCTTGAAGTTATCATACCCTTTTTTCAAAGGAATAAGGTTCACATGCTCTTGAAAGCGTAGCATAAGTGGCATGGATTCTTGAAAGCTTGTGATGTGATTGTTCAAGCAACTGATCTACGGTTAAGTACCAATCCCTGAATAAAATAAATAAAATCCACACCCAGTCATCACAGAAACTTGTTACCTTAGGTCTTCTCCTTTTGGAATTAAATACTTTATATTTCTTAAAGTATAATGGCAAGCTTTGGTCTTTTGAAGCAAAGTCTTTTAGTAGGATAATTTGTATACTTAATTGGTCTAGATCATAGAAATTCAATTTTAGAGATACTGAGTTTGAGATGGGCAATAGCTCAGAAATACCAGTAGTACTCTTGACTCTGTCAGAGTTACGTAGGAAAGTCAGAAAAAGTTGGTATCCCAGGTTTTTTTCCTAGGCTGGTTACAGCTAGGGCGCTAAAATTTAAAACAATTAGTTCTGATCATAATCATCTTGCGTTAAATATGTGTTACTTCACCACCTGATTTTCTGTACTTTCTGATCCCACTAAGAGAAAGAATAAAACACAGGCTAGGATTATGGTAGTTAGTTGTCATGGCTCAATGTGTGTCACTTCAGCATTTTTTCTACAGTTGTCTTTAGTCCCTCTGTTTGTTTTATATCTCTGTTTCTCAATCTGTTCCTCGGAGCTTTGAATGGAGATTAATTGTGGTCTGAGTAGAATTTTATAATATCTTTTGTCCCCTTGTCCTTTATGCTGAATATAGGTTTCAGGACTCATACGAGGTAGCCAAATATGTTAGTGTCTGTGATAGCAACCTATTAATTAACTGGCCTCCTTTCCTCACTTGCTTCCTTTCTTTTATAAGCTTTTGAAATCTAATGTCTTATACAAAAACACGTAAGAAAGTATGGGATATTATTCTTGATTGGTTCAAGAACAGCCGTTTTTAATCATTTCCATTTGGATTTAGCTGTTCGTATAAATCTTAATTGTACACCTTTAAGGAAAAGCCAAACTTTTTCAGGTCAGGGTTGGATTAAGGACCTCTTGTTCTTGATGATCACTGCAGACAAAATATCTCCCAAAACCTAAAGTACAAATGAAATTTCTTTTGTCTGTTCTAGCATAAAAGGAAGGAATCTGTCATTTTAGAGAACTTGCCAAAAATGCCTAGTAATTTGGTGGGGTTTTTAAAAAAATAAATATATGAATATCAGGATTTTTGACGGAAGCCATAAAAAGCTATAATAGAAACAGTATAGCTATATGCTGCTCTCTGAAGAACTGCTATTCAGGATGTTCTTAAGAAGAACAAAGAATGTTAGTTAGAAAAATTACAATTAAAAACATGGAAAATTTACTTTTGTAAATGTAAAGGATGCTGTGATTTTATAATGATTGGAGGAGAGTAATAAATACATGGCAGGTTGTTACACTCTTATAGCTCTAGTCAAGAAACAAAATTATCTTGAAGTTGAAGGGCAGTTGGGGACTGTTCAGACATAAAGCTCTCTGCATTAGAACTACTCTGTTGAAGGCTATGTCGATGTCATATTACTCTTTTGCTTGCAAGTGGACTCACTTTATGTAGTTGCCCGTTTTGGGTTTATTTGTCTATTTTTGTGATACACGTGGTGTCCTTTGATTTTAAAAGCTGTATTGAGCTGTAAATGGCCTTCTCTGCTTAAATATTGGAAGGTCTTTGTGGGTTTACTTGCCCTTTTGATGCATTCATATAAACTATGTGACTCCCTCGTCATTTCTCACAGAAATGTACCCACTTCTAAATTGCAAAGGCAGAATGTTTCATATTTTCTCAAGTTTCTCCCGTTTTTTCTGTTTGTGCGGTTTAATATGTCCCCCTTCAGCAATAATATTGCAATACCTGTGTCATAGAAAAGGTAAATTTCCTTATTAATGTCTATTTTTGAGACTTTTATTATGCTAGCTCCACTTTTATGTGAGACAGTTTCCTGGTAGTGTAGCTTCTAAGGAGACATTTTGTATCTGAGTCATCTGCTGAACTAAGTGTGTGGGAGAGTACAAAACCAAAACCAACTATACAAAAAACCCCACCACCCAAACAAACAAAAAAACACCCCTCCCAAACCCACCGTCCCACTAGATCTTGGGGCAGAGTTTAGGACCTCAGTTCTCCTTTAGTCGTCATACCACTTTTCTGTTTATTCCTTCCTTTTTTTTTTTTTCCTTCCTTTTTTTTTTTTTTTTTTTTACCTCCGTAAGATTTTATTACTAATGGCCTTGGCTTTCGTGTGGAGCACATGGGTGGATTTTTTGCTTGTGTTTTTTTGAGACTATCATCACTAAATTTTGTTACTGGTGATGTCTTTTCCTAAGGCACCCACCAATCCCTCCACCAAAGAAAAAGCGTCCGTAATTTCGTAGTTACCACTGCAGCTAGTTCTCTGTAGTCAAATAAGATTTCTGCAGAGCAGCATACTTTTCTAATCATACTTCTAGAAAGCACTGTTGCACTTTTTTTTTTTTTTCTTATCAGGAGTAACAAACAAACAAACTGGTCTTACAGAACCTTACTGGCCTTCTTTGGCCTACTGTTAGGTATTTTTGAAGTTATACTGCTCCTGTTAATACCTGAATTTCATAGTCCTTGTGCTGCTGGAAGTTTTCTCATTACTTACTGCAATCTGATTCCAGCCATCCTTGCATTTTTTTTTTTTAATCATCGTTGTAGATGTTAATTTATTATAGGGATTTTCTGAAGACATTTAGTATGTTCATTTGTGTGAATGATTTTTATGTTCAGAGAGAGAAAGACCTAAACATTATTTTTTTTTTTTTTTTAGTTCTGTTATTACATATATTTTGCAGAAAATGGTGAAATGTTGTGGATTATCATCAACAAGTAGTGGTGGTACCATCCAGGATTCAAAGTTAAAAACTTCCAGACTTTCAAAACATCTAGACAGGTGGATCTAGAGGAATAATCTACTGAGTTAGAAAACTGATGCCAGTAACTGTCTTTTGGCAAGCTGATAAAAAAGTGATTGAAGAAATTCTATCTTACTTGGGTATTACAAATAAAAATATATTTGAATAGTTAACATGTTGTGACAACCTGCGTTTTCGAGCATGGTTTTTGGTATTTAAATAAATAAGTAAACGAATTTAATTGAAATACTATTGACCATGCCTTGTTGCTTTACGAGACATTGAAAATTGCTTGAAGACAAATCAAATGAACTCTTAAAATGTAGTCTGAGTGACTAAATGCAAGATATTAGGAGCAGTGAAAGGACAAATGGTAGAGCGAGCACAGAACAATGGGAGATTTTCTGCTAAATATTTGCATATAGCAGTCTCCTGTAAATATAAGCCTGCATGTAGGTATGCTACCAGCTGCTTTCACGTATCAATTCCAGTGGGTATGCTATTAATGATTAAGATCAGTCACACAGCATTTGCTCATGTGGGGCAAATGCTTTCAATAACAAAAAATGAGAGTACACAGATTCATTGAAGGCTTTCTTCCTTTGTTTGAAAGAGTAACAATAGAAATTACATTTGGTGTTTATTCTACTACCTGTTACTTCCTTAAGGTATGACTGCATTTGATATGACTCTTAGTGGTGTGACACTTGTTGGAATGTAGAAAATACAGCCAAACAGCTTCAGTCCTCATTTGGAATTCATGTCTACTACTCTCTTGGCAGAATATCTTCTATCCATTAGAGCCCTGCAGATGTAGATAGAAAATGTAAAGGCATTCTGCCTGAACACTTGGATGTTGAGATAGTAATAAGGTTTATCCAGATATTTAAAATATTACTCTTAGATTTATTGGAAAAATTACACATTTAATATTCCAAAAATGAGATCTAGTTACTTTGAATTTAGAACAAACAAACAACTGTGTCGCTAGATATTTTTATATCATGGTTGCTAAAGGCACTGGCCATTACTGCCCATTAGTAATGGTGGGTATGGGTACGCTGGAGAAATTAAACTTCTTACGTGTTGACTTATTTTCTCTTGAAGTAACATATCCACCAATCCGGACCCAATCTATCATATTTACAATTAAATACAAAATTTTGAAATTTAGGTTTTGGGGGAAGAATGAAGAGATTGGTTTAAACGTGTACATAATAGTTGAGTTAGATTTATTAGAAGACCTCTAGATCCGTGTAATTATCTGGTGGGAAGCTGATTTGGTATGACTTACCGTCCAGAGATCCTGAAGTGACAGCCTGAACTGCTCCTTTATCTTTGGAGAGAAGAGACTTTATCCATTAGTAACGGATTGCTGGATATATTATTTTAGAGAAAAAAAAGAAAGAAACAGGTAAGATTTTTTTTCTCCTCTTCTACTATTTTCTGTCTACTACAAAGGCGTTCTGTGTCATCTTTGATATATCCACTGTTGATTATTTGATGACATGATCAGATAGTCTCAAACTACGCAATATCTGAATGTAATGATTTCTGCAAAGATTTGATACTGTGACTGCAGACTATAAGTAGTCTTTCTGGAAAAAGGTAATTTCTGGTTGGAAGTTGCATATATTGAAGATTTTAGGATGCTAGTTTGGGACTTTTGAAAGGAAAACTTCGATAGAGCAAGGAAAGTAAGCGGTAGCTTCTGTAGATAATCTCTATGGAATATCTGTGCTTGTTTTCTTTATACACAACTAGACAAAATTAAAGTTTTAACATTGTGAGTCAAACTTCAGTTTGTCATAGAACAATGTTTTGCAGCTGACAAATACAATTAAGTATTGTTATGTTTCAAAAAGTTTTAGAAATGTGCCTGACACAAAGTTTATGTTATTTTCAGGAGGTTTTGCCTTTTGATGTTGCACTTTAATAAACTTAGAATATGGTATTGCATACATTGTACCAAGACTTCAGGTTATTTTTGATGTCTAGCAAGACGTTTAGCAAGACTGAAATTTTAGTTTCTTACTGTGATTGAACTGCCAGTGTTTTTTGGATAAGAAGCTGCTAGCAGCTGAAGTCAGGAGCACCATAATGAAAGTTAAACCTAAGTTTAGATATAATTGCAAGGTTTAGTTTCATGAAACTCCTTTTATGGGTAAGACAGCTATTTCATTGACTTAAAAACTGGTGAATAAAAACTTGCTTGATCTGATGCACACATGTGGCATCTGTGTCTCTTGATAGTGAGTTTAAATACAGCTACGTGGGTCAGGTTGGATGGTGCTTAGAGCAACCTTATATAGTAGTAGATGGAACAGGATGATTTTTCAAGGTCCCTTCCAAGCCAAAGCATTCTATGAGTCTATAAGGTTTTTTTTAATCTTCAGTATTAATTTGAAGTAATAAGTATTGCATTGGAGTTACTGTAGTGTAAATAAGATCAGGATCTTAATTGTTCTGATTTTCATAGATGTGCTGGGGTTTCTTACATGCTAAGTCATTGTGGTATGAGTATACAATATTGCATTTTTTTGAACATGGGAAATTACAGGGCAAGGTAAAAAAACCGTAGGTTTTTGGTAAAAATATTTACAACTCTTAAAATACTTATTAGTGGGGAAGACAAAGAGGAACAAATACAGTGTGAAAGATCCCAAAGTGTGGTGTTTTTGTTTTTGTTTTTTTTTTTTAATAGTATTGTCCCCACTTGGTCCCCATGTGTTGCCTGATCAATTTGAGAGGCATCCCTGCCCAAGACAGGGAGGTTGGATTAAATGATCTCTAAGGTCCCTTCCAGCCTAGGCCATTCTATGATTCTATGATAGCATGTCTTACGTCCTTGGGGCTAACTATGTCATGTTGTGATGATCATGGTAAACCATTTACTAGGTCTGAGTCAGAAATAGATTTTCAGTTCTGCAGCCACAGTTAGAAGACAACACAGTTGGGTTTTAGGGACAAAATCTGCTACGTGGTGTTCTGCTGCTATTTTCTTATCTTTCAATCAAATGTGCAGGCTTGGGGCAGATTACTGTAAGAGCTTGCATATTTATCCTTAGTCTTCGGGGAAAATTTAGAGCTAGTTAAGTTTTTTAGTTGCAGCATTACTGATTCCCATACTGCTGTTGGAGCTGCCTCACCAGTTTGCTGTGAAGGGATGTGCTAGAGAAGAGAGGTACAGATGAAGGAGGACGGAGAGGGAGGAGCAGAACAGATGTGGAAGAATTTTCCAGTGGTTTAGAGTTGTGATGGGTTTTTTGCTACTGGCTGATCAAATCATTTGCCTTGCTACTGTTCTCTGGATCAAAGGAAAAACAGATGATGTGGATGCACAGTTCATTGCACCCAGTGATGGAATGCATATTTTTAAGATCGCTTTTCTGTTACCCCTGTAAATTCAAGAGAAGAGGTTTTGCCTCCCTTCCCAACAGCATAATTTACTCAGTTTTCGAATTAAATAAATGTAAATCTGTACCAAATACTTATAAAAATATCTGTAATTATTGTATCCAGTCCTAACTTAGTTGCATCTATCTTGTGATTTCTGTATTTCTGCTTATTTGTTGTTGGATCTTGTCTTATTTTTGTTTGAGAAAAAGAGGCCGCTTTCTTGAAATAAGAGCTTTTTCAAATACTTTTTCAAGGAATAATAGGATATGAAAGTAAATGTATAAAAAACTTAATATAACTTTCAAGTTACTGAAGCTAGTGTTAGACAGAACTCTAAGGTAACTGTTTACTGACTTTGTGTATCATTTCCAAAAGCACTAAGCTGTTTGAAATATAATGTGGGTACGGATGTATTTTTTTTTTTTTTTTACTTTTGCCTTGTCACAAGAAGAGGAGGACCTTGGAAAATGTTATTGTTAGCAAATTCAGAAGATCTGAAAGCTGTTGAGAAATACAGAGCAGTGCAGTATTTTCAAAGACAAGAGGTTATTGGTCTGTAAAGGGGAAAGTTCTTCAAAAGCATTTATGTTTTGTGGTGAGAGTGTCAGTGCATTCTTTAAGATTGGTTTTATCTTGTAAAATATTATAGAACATAATATAGCATAGAAAATGTTATTATACCATGGAATAATTATCAAGAGTTCAGGTAGAAATTTATTTCGGATTATGTTTCTCTTTTTCTGTTTTAAGAATTGCATGGTCATTAAAAACTTGTCTTCCGTGTAGTGTGTTGGAGATTGAGCCAGAAAATCAAGCTGAAGGATCTGTCTAAGTCCTATGAGCTCCCTGATACAGTTGTTTGCTTTTTTTCTCATTAGTGTGTGGTTGGTGGGTGCAATGCCAGCTTTGCATCTCAGGGAGGACTTGCCCGTCACGTACCCACACACTTCAGCCAGCAGAACTCTTCAAAAGTTGCCAGCCAGCCAAAGGCCAAAGAGGAATCTCCATCTAAAGCTGGAATGAATAAAAGAAGAAAGTTAAAGAACAAGAGACGACGATCATTACGTAAGTATTTCCAGAAGCAGAAGTTACTGAAAGTTTGGTCTTGGATAGGAAGTTCCTCTTCAATGCAGTTGTTTCTCTGCAGATGTGGGTCTGGTAGGGTTGGTGATGTTTAGCGTTACGGTATTGGCATCCCTTGTGATAGGAGGAAAACAATTCCAGATTCTGTTTTTGTTCCTTTTTAGGGTAAAGCATCTGTGTGTTCAGTAGAAAAGATGAGTTTTCTGTGAGCCACAGGTTGTTCTTACAATTTACTTTTCATTTTAGAGTCACTTTTTGTGTACTAACTATATTACTGTTGGATAATGTTCTGTTTAGTGATGATGAGATCCAATGTTCAGTACTGCAAACAGAGATTGTAGATTCATATAAATTGAAGATATAAATACATATTATATAAACTGTCTTTTGAGCACAACATTTCATTAGCTTGATGACAGTTTTATGAGCATAACCAAGATCTAATTTTGGGCAGATTTGACTTGCTACATTTATTTAGTCTTTCTCCACACAGTTGATGTTCAGTAATTTTATATGAACCAATGTGCTGAAAAGTGTGACTAATTTAAAGTGACAGTTGTTTTCTCTAGCAACTAATAATCACTTATGCAGTACCTTTTCTAGTCCATTTTGTTCCTGTTGTTTAATTCCTGAGTTGTCCTACCATCAGACCAATAACCATGTCACATTTATTTGGAGATTCAAATGTACATAAATGGTTAAGAAAGACTAGGCAATTGTTAAAAAAAAAAACAACCCACACTTTGTTTTGTAATCACTTTAATCACTTAGATGCAATTGTCCTTTTCTGAACTGATTATTTACTGATTTTATTATTTACTGATTTTAAACTGTTACTGTGACAGTTGCCCTTTAGAGTAACATTTAAATGTTTTCCTGCTGGTATGTCAACAGCTGAAGAAAAAGTTCCATTAACTTTTAACCTGTGGTGTAAATTCAACTTTACAATATTAGAAGCACAAAATACCTTTTTTATGAACCACTGTACCAGTTGGATCTCATACTGTCCACAGAAATGGAGATTATGAAGATAAGTAGACAATTGTTTCTGTCCTGCCTCCTGGCTTGTGGTAGGATTTTAGTGATGATGTTCTTCACTGGGTTAGCAATGTCAGTCTTATTTTTCGAGAACACTTCACTGTATTTATCTTTGTGTTCCTGTGAAGAAATACAGTTGCCAATTATTCAAATAGTACTCCAACAATGGATGCACATACTAGTGGTCTTATGTGATTACTCTCTATGATCTGGTTGTGATTATTCTTCTCTTAATATTTCACCTGTGTTTTAAGCAACTGGAAGTTACAAAGCAGTCATCATGTTTCTGCCTTGAACTCAAGAAATCTGACCTGGAAAGTTACACTTTTCAGAATTCGAGGTGATACTGTATTTCCTGTGTCTGCCTTCCATGCTGTATGAGAATTATGCAGTTCAGTACTAGAAGACCCACTATTTTATTTAGTTATGGTGATTTTGTTTAACCTTCATTTTTAAATGCTTGGATATTCTTCAAGTATAAGTGAGCAAATGTTATCATTAAACAGATCTTAGAAGTGTAAACTTCAGGAATTCCTGTAATTTTGACAGTGATTAGGCATTCAGTTCTCTGAGTGTCAAATCACTGAAAGATGCATTGTTGTTTTCAGTATTTGACTTTCAGAGAGCTTTCCCTTTCACTCTAGCAATCTATGTAAACAAGAAGGTTCTAGAAGGGAAGACTGATCAGTCAAAGATTATATGCTCACTTTGCAATATCCTTTTAGTTTATCTTAGATATAGTTTAAAAAAAAAAAAAGACTTAACTGAAATAGTTGCAGATACCTAAAGGATTATCTTGACTTGTTGACTGTGTTACTCAAAATATGTATGTCTAAGACTGGTCACTTCAAATCACTTCCAGAGATTCCCGATTTGCATCTTAGCTTGCCTCTTCATATTGATTTTGTTAGGTGGCTGATTTATATACCTAAATTTAATTACCCTCTCCCAGTATATGCAGAAGCAGCTTTTCAGTTTGGCATTTTATTAGTACTTGATGAATACTGTTAACTTGAGTTTCAGATCGGAGCTTCATAGTTAAAATTTCAAATTATCTGCTAAGATGTTCTAGTCATTTTAAGAGCGTATTGCTGTCATGAGTTTGTGTCTGGCGGTGTTTTTGGTAGCAGGGAGAGGGCTGTGGGGGTGGCTCCTTGCAAAAACTTCGAGAGCCTCCCTCAGCCTGAGTAAAAGTTGGATCCACCCCTGGCCAAGGCCAGGCCAATCAGCACCTCTGCTGATTAGTTTGTTTAAGAGAGGAAACCTGCTGGACATGCTCTTTGTCTTGTCTTTTGTGTTGGGGAGTTGTTTGTTTTGGAGAGAAGGGGGAAGGGAAGAAGATATAGTTTCAGTCCCCAAGTGTCTAGGCGAAAACATGCAGTTGATAAGGAAGAAGGCCGGAGAAGGGCACTGGGGCAGAAGTCTCCCTGAGCCTGTGGTGAGATGGCAAACTGAGGAGGTCAGTGGAGGACACACCCAAAGCAAACCGTGACTCTGAGGAAGACCCAGGCTGGAGCAGAGGACACTGCAGCCTCTGGATGGGTCCCCTGCTGGTGAGAAGGACTTATGTGGAGGAGGAGAACTGTGTCCTAAACAAAGGACATCAGGGAAGGATTGTGATGAGTCCTTTTCCCAAGGAGGAAGGATTGCCACGGACAATGAGCAATAGCCAGACTGCACACCTCATGCCCTACCCTGCTGTGCTGTTGTGGGGGTGAAGGTAGCTGGCTAAAAGGAGGGGGTGTGAGGGAGGAGTGTATTTAAGATCTGGTTGTTTTCATTTCTCTTGCTATCCTACGCCAATCTAGTTGATTTGATTAAACTTGTGGTGGTAAATTAAATTTATGTTTTCTCCTGAAGTCTGCTCTGGTTTTTGCCCGTGGCCATAAGTGGTGAATGACCCCTTCCTGTCCCGATATTAATCCTTGAGGTTTTTTTCTTTTATTGTTGAATTTTCTCTCTCTCCATCCCTTAAGGCAGTGGGGTGGGCGTGAGCAAGTGGCTGCATAGTTCTTGTTCCTAGCAGGGCAGGCGTAAACTATGACATCTGCAGAATTCTTGAATGAACCTGTGGCAAAAAAAATGTGGGTAGTAAATATGGGAATGTTAAAGACCAGGCTGTTTTTCTTGAATAGCCTGCTGTGTTGATTGTACAGGAAGAAACATGACAGCTGCTTGAGCAATTTTTCTGTCTTCTTGCCTCTTGAGAAAAATGCAATGCTGGTTGTAGAGTTTTACCTTAAGACAAAACTGATCTCTAACCAATTTGGGAGCTGACTGCTGTAATGTACTTATCCATTATCTGGGATATGTGACTCAGAAGTGTATTCAAAGTTGATGTCATTTTCTGAAAATGCTAAGTATTGGTAGCTTTTCTTTAAAGTTTGTGTGGTTTGTTGTTGATTAGGTGAACTTGGCAAATAGCTGGTAGAATTTTCCCTTAACTTTCTGGGTTTTAGATAAGTTTTAGTTAAAGAATTAAGTGTGCGGTGTTGTATATTTTGTCTTTAGAAGAAGAATGGAGGAGGGCAGGGACCTTTATCTACAAGGCCAAAGTGACAGAATTATAGCATTTAGTGTTTTCAGTCTAGAGTAAAAGCTAGGAACATAGATTTGTATTTAGATATTTTAAAAGTGTCCAAAAAGAGAGGTGTTACATATGTACCACGTTCTCTGCAAGTTGCAGTACAAGAAGTTAGGACAAAGGAGTGTAAAGCGAGATGCTTTACACAGTTTTGCATCACAAAACAATGTTTCTCCTGAAAAAATGTCGTCGGCATGTTTTGTACCTTCTCATGGTTTAATTAGACCATAGCTTTTTATTGAGAGGTTAGGAACTTAGCAAATATTCATTGGCAATTGATTGTTAATACATACTTCTACTAAAGCATCCTTTTGTATAAATTCTTAAAAGTTCAAATATAGAAAATCAATAAATTTACTTCCCTCGCTTTTTATATCTGAAGATTAACACCCTTCTGAAAGACATAAGTAAAAAGGAAACTTTACTATGGCTTTATATATGACAAGAAACATGATCTTTTAACTTAGAGTATAAAGAGAATTCTTAGTGTTACTTCAGTTTTTTTTCTTTGTAACATCTTGCCATTCTTAAACTGCTTTGCATTTCTTTTTTCCTCTGTATGTACAGTATATGTTCTAAGGTTTAGAAACTAGTACTTGTATGATCAAAGCATGTTTTACTTAGACACCCTTATAGCGATGCTATAGAGCTGTCTGATTTGTCATAGAAATGTTGATGTTGCAGACTAATTCAGAGTTAGTCATATAGTTTCTTTTCTGAATAGCCTTACACACATTCACTGCTCCATGTAGTCTGTCATTTAGAGATATAGAGCTAAACGTGCTCTAGGTGTGTGTCTCCAAAATAGGTTATAATACTCCTATTATGAAGCTTCCTCAAAGATTGTATTTACAATACTATGTTTTCAATAGCAAAGGTGACAGTACAGTTCCTAACATGTATGATAATTGAGGTCACTGGAGAACTGTGAGAGAAAGAAACTTACTGTTCATAGAATTTTACAGTATTACTGTCATAGTTTGAGCCCGCCCCACCAGAAACAAGAGCTGTGCAGCCGCTCTCTCACCTCCACCCCTCTCCCTTAAGGGATGGAGAGGGAGAAGATGCAACAAAAAGGCTCCAGGATTGAGATTAGGACAGGGGGGGTTCGTTAACAGTTTATGTTCACAGGGGAAAAAAATGGAGTACACTTGGGGAGAAAACATAAATTTAATTTAGCACCACCAGTCATCAACTAGATCAGAGTAGGATAGTGAGAGAAGTAAATATAAACAGATCTTAAATATACTTTCCCCCAACTCCTCCTCTCCTTCCCCACAGTGGCACAGCAGGGCGGGGCATGGTGAGTGTGGTCTGTCCGGCCATTACTCATTGTTCAGGGCAATCCTTCCCACGGAAGAGTCCTCGCAGTCTTCCCCCGATGCCACGTGGTGTCCTTCTTACAGGAGACAGTCCTCCTCCTCCACCTGAGTCCTTTCCACCAGCATGGGACCCACTCATGGGCTGCAGCGTCCTTTGCTCCAGCCCAGGCCCTCCTTGGTGTCACTTTGGGTGTGTCTTCTGCTCCTGTGTGGTCTCTTTCTCCCCTGGCCTGAGGTCCTCCATGTGCTACTGCATCCTGGACCTTTTGCCACCATCAGTCTCTTCAGCTGTGGGACCTCAACTTGCTGTTTTTCTCACGCTGGGAGTCTGTCCTAGTGCCCTTCTTCCTCCCCTCTAGGCGTCCTCACCAGTTGCGTGGTTGATCTCTTCATTGCCAACTCTTCTCTCCAAAACAAAATAACTCCCCAACATGAAAGGCAGGACAGATTTTCCCTCTTAAACGCACTGATGGCAGAGGTGCTGGTTGGCCTGGCCTTGGCCAGAGGCATGTCTGACTTACTTGGGCTGGGGGAGGCTCTGGAAGTTTTTTGCAAGGAGCCACCCCCTCACTACAGCCCTCCCCCCACTACCAAAAATCCTGCCAGACACAAACCCAAGACTTCCAATTTCATTTACTAGGCTGCTGGTATGTAGATTTTATTTGTCTTAAGTAATTGATGCATACTTTGAACTTACATTAAGCAGGAAGAGGAGATATCTTACTCGGAAAATAATTTTGAGGCAATACCTTTGAGATGCATAGAAGGTATAGCATTAACTCTCAGTAAGAAATAAAACTATTCATATGCCTTTGACAAATTGTTCCCTCAATTCTGCATCTGTTAGATGTTATCCATTGGTAAACCCTGAAGAAATTTGCTGTATGAAACCAAAAGCAAAAATTTGTAGTTGTCTTTTTCTACCCTCCCTTCCTTCCTCCTTCGTATTTGTTTATAAAATATTTATATGCTTACATCACTGACCACCTGCAGCATGAGCTGTGGTTCTACATTACCACTTACAGTGAGAAAACATTTCAGTGAGATGATTGCTTAATTGGCAGTATCCAACTGAGAGTAACAACAGAACATAACGTACAGATGAATGCTTAACAACAGTTCATCCCAGGAGTCTAGCAAATATTAACTTCAAGTGGAATTTGTAGTTTGCTTTGAAAAAGTAGATAGATAATCTTAGTGAAAAGGAATATAGAAGTTGTTTTAAATGAAGACAACAGGACTTTGAATCACTGTTTTTGCAGATTATGGAAGATATGCAGTTGATAATGTAATATCAACTATTTGTAGTTCTAATTTCATTGTATTATATAGAGAATTGCTATTCTAAAAATAAGACTTTAAAATCTGATTATTTTCATTCATACTTCATTTGCTCATGCAACTTTGCTCCTGTACTATATGATATATTTTTAAAAATTTGTGTAAAGTATTTCTAACAGTGTGCAAATATATGCCTAGTAGAAGTTACTTTTTACCTACAAAGTTTTTAGTGTAGAATTGGTAGACCTTCTTTACACTACAAATAAGAATTCAATTTTTTACTGTTCAAGAAACACTTGAGTGTTCTATAAGGAAAAGGTCTTTATTGGTGCCTGCTAGTTTTAGCCTACTTGTGAAATACACAAAATATGGATGTTAATTGAACTTCACTCACTACAAATTGAAGTGATGTGTGTAAGGCATTTGGTGCTTCTTGACTAGAAAGTAATCTGTTTACTAGTAATCAAAGAACATGGAATGACAACTTATACTTAAAAGTATATGTCCAGCAGGGTGGACTTTCTCATGTGACTCTTTAGCATTACTCCTTGAAGGTCAACGCTTTCTGACGCGCTGGCGTTTTCTGTACGTTCGCAGTAATTCTTGCTTAATCCTTTGCTTTGTGTTTCAGTGCAGTACCAAGCAGTTTTGTTTTCAGTGCCATTGTTGATCTCTTTGCAGCACCCCAGTATTCACTGAAAATGGCTGCAATTTTTTAGGAGTTGCAAATTAGATTAGAGCAGATTGGTTTTAATAAATTAAGAAATAAGGTATAGGTATAATTTTGCTTTTAAGATCTGGATTGTATGTAGTATATTTTGAAGTACTTTAATAATGTTTTTTAAAAAGTCACAGCAGTAATATTGGAACAGTTGACTATGTTGTAAGGGTGACTTGGTCAGTTAGGTTCCCATAAACATCACAGCCTAGCTGGGCTGCTTTTGCATTAAATTAAAACTCACATTTATTAGTGAGTTCTAGATTGAGGGGTTTTTTTGCTTGATTGGTTGTTTGTTTTGTTTTGTTTTTGTTTTGAGATGATAGTAATGTAAGTTTCCGGACGTATTCCACCAAACTGATGAATTCTTAATTTTGAAGATTATGAAAAAATAGAATTCACTTGAAACTGGGAAAAAATAAATAAAAACGAGCAAGTGTAATTCAGTTTGTGAAAATAGCACTTTCACTTACAAGGTGTGTGTTTTGACCAAACTTAAATTAATTGTCTCTCCCTCTCAGAATCTTTTCTTCCTCTCAAATTAATGTTTACAACTCTAACAAGATAGTGCTACTGCCATAATGATAAATTATTTAGTAGTGATACTTTGGGTTTATTTACGTGCTTGAATGTGCTTGAGTGCTTTCAATGTGTTGAACACTAAGGATCTCTTTCCTTATTTTGTCTAGCAAGACCTCATGACTTCTTTGATGCACAAACACTGGATGCCATAAGACATCGAGCTATCTGCTTTAACCTCTCAGCACATATAGAAAGTTTAGGAAAAGGCCACAGTGTTGTATTTCATAGTACTGTAAGTATATATATATTTTGCATTTTGCTAGTTTACCTATGTGTCTGAAAATCTGGTACTTAAAGATTTCTGGTTTCCTCTTATTGCTGTAGGCATTTAATCGTTAATAAGTAATAATGGGTGTTTTAAACAGATTTGTCCATTTCTCTTAATAATTTTTTGAAAATAGTGTTAGTAGTTATTCTAGGTCAGAAATAAAGTAACTTGCAGCATTTTGCCTCCGATATACTTGGGGAAATATCTAACAGCAAGTAGGCATTGGAGAA